TATAAATTTCAGTTTTTTAACTGTACTAAATTAAGTATTTTGTACTAAATTTAGTACAGCTAACGGATACCCATTAAAAATAACATATAAAAAAGATTGATTACATGCAATATATAACTTTATTAAAAAAAAAAACCAAATTTTTTATTTTCACCTATTTAATTTATATAAAAAAAAAATTTTTTTACAAAAATTATTATACAACAAATATCATTGCGTAATAAACATTATTGTGTAATAAACATTGTTGCATAATAAATGTCATTGTATAATAAACATCATTGTATAATGAAAAAAAATACCAAACCACCTGCTTTATATTAAAAAGTTCGACTTCACTATGATGAAAACTTTACCACAAAGATGACGACATTAACGATATTACCAACGAACAAATCTTCACCATAAAGACAATAACACCAACAACGAAAACTTTACTAATGGTGATAACACCAATGACGAAACTTCACCACCAAGGAAGATGATACCAACGACAAAGACAATGATATCAATGATGAAACTTTACCACTAAGAAGAACGCCAACAATGGCAAAGCAATTCCAATAACAATATAATGATTCTGAAATTAAAGCTAAAGAAAAAAAAAATTGTTAGTATTATAAAGAAAAAAAAAATGAAGAAAAACAGAAAAAAAGAAAAAAGCCAAAAGAGACGAAAGAAAAAACAAATAATGAAAGAAAAACAAAAGGAGAAAAAAAACAGAAGAGAAAGGAAAAGAAAAAAAGCACAAGAAAAACTAAAGAATAAAAGAACAAATAGACGAAAGAAATCAGAAGAGCAAAAAAAAGAACAGACAAGAAACAAAAGAAAAAACAGAGAAGAAAAAAACAAATAAGCAAAAGAAAAAAAAATAGGCAAAAAAAAAAGATAAATGGGCGAAAAAAAAAACTGATAAATGAAAAAAAAGACAAAAAAAAAAGGACAAAAAAAGAGAAAAGATAAAAACAAAAGAAACAAAAAAAAAAAAGATAAAGAAAAAATGAAAGAAAAGACAGAAGAAAAAATAGAAGAAAAGACAGAAGAAAAAAAGGAAGAAAAGACAGAAGAAAAAAAAGAAGAAAAGATGGAAGAAAAGATGGAAGAAAAAATAGAAAAAAGATAGAAGAAAAAATAGAAGAAAGGATAGAAGAAAAGACAGAAGAAAAATAGAAGAAAAGATGAAAGAAAAGACAGAAGAAAAAATAGAAGAAAAAATGGAAGAAAAAACAAAAGAGAAGATGAAAGATAAAACAGAAAAAAGGACAAAAAAAAAGACAGAAGAAAAGACAGAAGAAAAAATAAAAGAAAAAATAAAAAAAGAAAAATCTAAAGTGAACAAAAAATTAAAGACAAAAAAAAAATCAAAACCGAAAAAAAAAAAAATGCGAAAACAAAAAAAAGTGTGAAAAAAAGAAAAAAAAAAGTGTGAAAGAAAAAAAAATCTAAAAAAAAAAGATAAGAAAAGAAGCAAGCAAACTACAAAGAAAGCAAAATGGCAAAAAAAGCAAAGTGGCAAAAAAAAGAAAAACAAAGCAGCAAAGAAAAGCAAAGCAGCAAAGAAAAGCAAAGCGAAAAAAAAAGTAAAGAAAAGCAACATGGCAAAGAATAACAAAGTGGCAAAAAAGCAAAGCAGCAAAGAAAAGCAAAGTGGCAAAGAAAAGCAAAGCAGCAAAAAAAAGTAAAGCAGCAAAGAAAAATAAAGCGGCTAAGCATCAAACAAAAACAAAAAGTGCGATTATCAATTGTTTATATATGATTGGCAATCTCAAAAATGATTGGCCGATCATATAAGAGCACAGTCTCTAATTAAATCGAAATAATTCGATTTATTTAGAGACTCTTTGCACTGCATCTCTTATATGATTGGCAATCTCAAAATAATTAGCCGATCATTAAGAGTATAATGCAACAGGTCGCTAAATAAATTGAATTATTTCGAATTAATTCGATTTATTTAGTGATCTGTTGTACTGCAACCCTCATATGATCGGCTAATCATTTTTGAGATTATCAATCATATAAGAGATGCAGTACAATGAGTCACTAAATAAACCAAATTAATTCGAATTATTTCGAATTAATTTAAGTTTATATTATTCACTTCAACTCTCTTCATAATTATTCTATCAACTTATTTAATATATTTATTTCAAACTTCAAAATATTTTTTTCATAATAATGCTCAAATTATTGCGAAATATAGTACAATATCTTATGTAGTATTTTGTAATAATCTTATATAATATTTCAAAATTATATATTTCACTTTATTGCACAATATTTTGCATAATATTACGGCTATTTTACATTGTGTAATTTATTGCACAATATTACGCTCTATTAAATTTGCTAATATAGTACTACAAACTTCAAGAGCTCACTAGCTAAATTGTCTAGTTTTTTTCTATTTGCAATAGTCTGATTGATAAAAATATTTTCTAATATTGTGTTTTTTATCTAGTTTAGTTTATATAGATTTTGTTTTCTAAATTTAATCTTTATAATAGCTTTGTTAAAGATTTGTATTACTTTCTATTTAGATATTGCTAAGCAAGTTTTTATACTCACAAGTTATATAACTCAAAGCTTATTTTATATTTGTATTACCAATTATTAGACCTAGGTATCAGATGCTGATAGATGTTCAAAGCATTATATTATTGTATCAAACAATTTGATTAGGTATCATATTTTTTTGTTTTTTGGAGAGATCTGCAAAAATATGCGGTGTCATCTAAACCAGAAAATTGATTGGCCGCTGTCAACGGACATTGCATGATTTGAAGTAGATATAGAGTCCTCTGCTACACTTCGGACAATTATTAAATTACTGTAATTTTATATAATTTTGCATAATTTTGTGTAGATTTTTGTAAAACAGTTACTATTTTATTAGTAAAAAGGTTTGAAACTTGTAAAATTATACAAAATTATATGAAAATGTAAATTGTAATTTATATAATACAACTTTACCAATTACTAGCTTGCATTCTTTCATATAATATTTATTAATGAATATTTTAAATTTTTTAGTCTTGCTAGTATGACTATAGTTACAAATATTCTATTTTAATTGATTGATCAAATATAGTTTATCTATAATACAAGCAAAATTTTTAAATTTTTATTATCAATAAAAATTTAAATTCTTAATATATCACTTAAAGAATAACAACTTGATTATTTTACTATATCACTATCTTTTAGATTGTAGTAGAACACAGACAAATTTGTCTGTATTTTTATACTTTTTTAGCTTTAATTTTTTTTTTTTTTTTTAACGTCTACCCTCTTGGGAGCTAGGATTTTTATTCAGGTATATATAGCGAAGGGTTCTCT